CTAGATTGTTAGCTCAGCATCAGTTAGCTAGTTTAAATCTAACTTGAATAATTCTACTCCACCTTGAAATCACTTTTGTGAATATGACTTAACCTTCTTTCAAGCCAGGACTGAGCTGCATAAGAACTACAAACAGGTTTTTTTTTCCCTTTTAAAGTTACCTGGGGGAGCGTTTGAGCCAACACTGAATTACCAAGATACGACCAAAAAAACCTGACAAGTGGCAAAAGTTCTGGCACTATTTTCTTTTCAGTCTTGCAATTCATGCATGTGTCAAATTCTGCTTACAGTACAATAAGAAAAAATAAATATGTAGATAAAATAATTAACAATACTTAACAGAAGCACACTGTAAAAGAAATATGACACAAGACCATTACATATAGTAAAGGAAATAATTATAGAAGTTTAACTTATTCAGTAGTCTGCTGTTTTCCCAATCTGCAATTCTGTTGTTTCTAGATTACAGCACAAATTAAGTAGTTACGGCATCGACTGTATGACCAAAGGCAAAATATTAAGTTGTTTAACTATTCTGGTTATTCTGTCAAATGAGGATAAAAGTACTTCTTAACTTCATACGGGTGTTGTGAGGATAAATACATTAAATATTAAGAGACAGGCAGACAGTTGTGAGATGGAGGTCCCCCATATATTTAACAAGATAATCACACGTTCAAAATCATGTTATAGCAGTTCTGCAAAATACCGTTCAACGCTGTCTCCACAGCTGACCAAATGAATCTCTTAGCCCTGGGGAATCTTCTTTAGGTAGAACTTGTTTCTATAAAATTTTACAAAGGTGACTTAAGAGAATGTGTTTTACCTCATGATGGGAGCAGGCAAACAATGAGCGCATGATCAGCTATGGCAGTTCGGCTGCCAAGCAGCAACTTGTTAACTCGCCATAACTCAATCATGTTCAATTGTTTGCCCACAGCCTCGGGCTACAGACAGACATTTGGTCTGCTAACAACTGCGCCAGATGAAGACATTACTATCCCAAGCTATTTGTTATCACACATCTGCTGGAGATTATCATCTCCACAGCTCTGCCGGAGGAAGAAATCATGTGAGCACTCCCTAATATGGTTTGTACAAAACCAGCCAATTTAATTTAAATAGGTGAGTTGAGCTTACCAGGCTGGTTTTGCCCAAAGCATATTAAAAAATGCAGACAAAAAACCTTCTTTACTGGCAAAAGAGTAGAGGATGAAAACAAGCAGCTGGAAAAATTAACACCTTCAAGCAGTGTAGCTGGATCGGGGAGGGGACTGTTCCTGTCCTAATGCAGAGAGATAATGTAAACAGAGAACTTTTTCAAGGCTATACAGGAGAAATAAATGCAGCTTCTAAACCAGTATTATTTAGTACTGTTTATTAATTTAACTAATTAATGGGAAAACTACATATTTGTAGATTAAAGCTTATCTGTAAAGGTAGCATAAATAGATATATATATATTTAAATGTCAGATACAGAAGATCACGTGTTGAACTGTATCAGCATAATATAATCTATGCAGGTTGTAAGTTTTGTGGTGCAGGACTGTTCCCCTCCTTAACATTTGGTTCATCAGTAGCTGTATCAACAGTTCTCAACAATCTAATTATCTTGCCACTAGTAGAAGTTGGTGCTAGTTTATATAGGATTGGTTCATTACTATTTATTTTGACAGAAGAAACCAAATACAAGCAACCCAGTACAGTAAAGCTCACCCAGAAAGTATCAGTATTATTCCACCACAAAGAGACAGCTGCAAACCACTGCCATGCTTAGAGCTCCACACCTTTTTGATGCGGATTTACAGAGTGAATTATTCCACTAGTCACTGATCTAATGTAATATGGGTATTTACATACTGTCTACACGCTGAGACAAGAACTGTGTTCAGTCATCCAAAAGGGGTGAGAAAAGTCAAGACAAGCACAGAAAAATGTGTGTGTGTATACATATCTCATATACATATGAAAACCAGAAAAAAGGTCTTCCAGAACAGCAAACAAAAAAGATGCAGTCCCACAATAAGAAATACAGTTGTGTGTAAACTATACAAAGAAAGACCCAGAGAAATTCAGTCTTGCAATAAAAGCAGATTAAACTGTATTCTGGATAAGCACAATAATTTTATAAAATTTCCAATACTTACCCACTGCTGCTGTTCTATCACCGCATTTGGCAACAAACAATAAGACAACATAAGGTCACAGTGATTTACTTTTTGTATGACTATTTTTAAGGAGGTTACTCATCTGAATTACCCTGACATGTCAACTGTAATAGTTTAACACACAAAGAACTAATTTAGAATTAATTTTAGAAAGCTTCAGACTTTCAACTGTAAGCACCTGCATTCAACGAAAGATTTAACTGCATATGCATGTTGTACACTGAAATAATGAAAGATTTACTACAATGTCACTTAATTCTGTAACTTAACCTTGTGACATTTGATTAGTATCACTGTAGTTTAGTGTTTTATAAAGTATTTAGGCACATGCAAAAATCTAGATGATAGATTTCCATTTTAAGATTTCATACGCAGCAATGAAAATGCACATTTGCAACTAAGGTGATATTCACCATTTATATTAACTCTGTGAACAATATTTGCTACTAAAACAATAATTTCTATAGGTACCTTGTTAAGCAGAAACATTTTCCTTCTCTATATTGTCTAGTGAAACTAAGATTAACCCTTTTGGTAGAAGTGATAATTTAAAATTGTCATAACAAAATCAGCCTTCAATATTAACTAGAGATAAATCTGACATATGTCACTATGCGCCATGAATTTCATTTGTAAGGAACAAAATACCAGAGGAATTGTCTTGAATCGAATGAGGATAGGTACTATGAACATATGAGGAGATGAACTAGGTATTTGTCATGTGTTGTTCCTATATATCTGCAACTCAATCTCTATTTTAGTTGTAACAGCTTTTGATAAAAAGCAAAATATTAGGTTATACAACACAAACTGTAGGAAGAAAGCAGTCACCAGACATGTTATTGGCCTGAGAGAAAAAAAACATTTGCACATGGTGCAAATTAAATTCTTATTTTCAGCAGCTAAACTGTAGCAAGAATGTTAAAATTTGTTCAATATACGTCTTGTAAATCAGACATATATGACTTGATATTCTAAGACAGCAGATGGCCTGTTAAAAATATCATTATCGTAGAAGTTTGAGAACTTCTCTTCAAGTCACTTTAAAGAACTAACAGTAAAGTTCCTGTGGTAGGCAGAGAAAATGGCGGTTTTCTGAAAAAGCACAACTAACTATTTTGAAATAGTGACTCCATCTGGAGGAAAAAGCCTTTGAAAAGAGAGATGATGGTACCAGGAGATGTTAGCAGGTGACCGTGCTATTTTAAAGGTATTACAGTATGATAATATACTATGGCTTTATGTATGTCGTAACAATGGTTTATGTAAGTCTTACTTTAATATTACAGATACTTTATGGAAAATGCCAGTCTTCAGTCTTAGATTTGCCACCTATTGCTTCTACACAACCCTGCCAGATGTTTATTGGGATAACAGTCCACTAACGTACTGCTGATTGGATATTTGATATCCAGATCAGATAGATAAACTGAAGAGAGGTTGAAGATCACTTCAGGTATTTAATACCATTTTAAAAATCTGTATTCTAACTGCTTGGGTAGGTAGCAATCACTTCACAAGAGCTTCATGGTCAGAGTAACAAACATGTAAGTTACGATTCTGAATTCCTCGGACACCGTTTTACATTGCTACAGCATCAAAAAGATCCTAAAATGACTTTAAATATAATCTGTTTCTTACTGCTCACTTTATATCCACTTTATACTCTCAGTTTCATGAAAGAAGCCTGATAGTAAGAGTGCATTTACGGTGAAAATTCATATCTAAAGTGAAGTTATCCTAAAATTCTGAGCAAAAATATGATTTAACAGGTGCGCTTGCCAGAAAACGTAGGCAGAAATTTTCAAAAATTTTTTTGGCTTAATAGAAGAGGTTTAATAGACAAAGATAACCACAATTTCTGAAGATGAATGACCAACACTTGCATAACCAAATGTTTTAGAGGGTGTCACTAGAACTTGTATACAATGAAATAGATTCATATTTAATATGCATATTTTTGAAAGAAGTATTGGTCTCCCTTTCCAGGTATTCATCAAAGCAAGTATTTAAGAATATTAAAAACGTATTTCAGGATGACCACATATATACTAAACGACAAGTGCCTGAAAGACAACTGTCTCACTCAAAACCATAGTATTACATGATGATATAAATCTAGTATAACTTTTTGAAAAAAGTAATTTGATAGCACATTGTCATCTTTACAGAACAACATAAAAATTGTGTAAGGTGTTGTGCATAGCAAGGGAAACATTTCTGTAGTTTCTAATTTTAAAAAATACTAGAATTAAAATAATTATTTGGCAGAATAGATTCAGCAGGTAACATACATAAAAAAACCTCTAGGAACAGACTCCTAGACCAGTGCCCATCAGTTCAGTGCTGAATTTTTTGTCTTTTGAGGGGGAATAAAGAAGCTGGAGGATAGAACTAGGTTTGTTGTTAATAAGTTTTAAAAATTAAATTTTTATTGTCAAAATACAATATAAGAACAATTTAAGTGTTACAGTATTTATCTTCTTGATTTCAAAAGCATGTATGCAAAATGGTAATTTTACACATTTTCAGCACTTAACTTACATGCCAGAAGCACAGACCTTACTTTGGCATCCATTTAATTCTGATGTTTACTAAAGAGATTGAGTTTAGTAAGTGTAGTTGGATATAGTCAGCAATAAGGTCTAATACCCATATTTTAAGCAAAGATTATGCCATATAAAAGAAATTCTTGAAAGTAAATCACAAAAAAGCCAGAACACCTCTGAAAATACCCCAAAAGAATGGTGTCATATTTTAGATAAAAATGAGACTTAAGAAATCAACAAATTCATAAACAGTATTAATGACAGCTGCAGCATTAACTTACCTGCTAGCTGTTTTTACAGAGCTGTTCTTCTTGTGTCCTCTCTCCGATCGGTTATCTCGCAAGAGTTGAAGCTATTAAAAAAAAAAAAAAATGTTCAGAACAGTCTCACAAGCAATGCCTGTATTTGCTTTTTAGAAGTGTTATCCTGACAATGCCATTCTTTCCTGTCTTGAAAAAATCTTTCAATAGTTTTCATCCGACTCTAAAAGAGATGGATATCTAATAGAATTTTACAACAATAGCTAATATTTCAAGATATAGCCACCAATTTAAAATTCCTAAATAATTGACAACGTACAAATTAAAGCATTCTCAAAGCATACTAGAAAGCCATGCAATTCACAATTTCACAATTAACTTATCTGTAAAATTTTATAATTGTCACAATTTCAATTTAAATCTTCAAAATTGTATAATGAAAAGTGTTGGGAGGACACTGAAATTACGAAAAACTATTCAAGTTGGCACTTGTATCTAAGCAGTTATGAAACAGTTATAAACTCTTCTAAGCCCCAGGAGCTTTTGTAATTTGAAAGTTGCAGAATCAACAAAAACATGGTATTAAAGCTTCCCATAATAGTGGGGAAGTAGGAATAACGAAGGATTCATTTAACTGAAACAGTGACTCAGCTTCTGGAACAAGTTCCGATGTACTCTACCTATTTTTAGACAAATAAAGGAAGACTTTTCATTCAGACTACCTCCAATACTCAGAAGTCTATTTCCAGCATTATGATATTTGTCAGGATGACTGAAGTGGTAGTAACAGTAAAAAAATGACTGTGAAAAAGTGACACTAAAGAAATTAAAACTAGACAGTATAAAAATTACAAATGTTTCTTGAGACTAATCATATATTGAAGAAAGTATAGAATGAAAGACTGCTTAGAAACAGACTACAGGTAAATGGATCTAATAGTCACAGCAAACACATTTAAAAGTCCACTGGAAATTAGGAAATGATGAACTTTGACTTGGCCAACCACACCTTAATGTTGTACATGAGCATGGACTCCAAAAAATGACACCTATCTGAAAAATTACACTTGATTAATTTTTCCCCAACACTCTATAGCTTGCTTCTTGTTTAAGGAATGCTCCTCATCATTTCAACTATGTAGTTCTCAGATGCAGTAAAAATAGTGCAGTCTGGTTTTAAAAGGCAATCTGAAAGATACATAAAGGTAAGGCACCTTATCCTGATAATTTTTTCATTTTCTTATTGTGAACAAATCAGAACACTTACAATTCATATTTAAATGTAGCCACAATTTTTACCAGCATGACATTCGTACCATGTGTATCTATTTCATGATCAAGCTAAGGAGAACAGTCTTACAGTTATCAATGTTCTCTGGCTGATAAGTAAACTGTAGTTATAGCATGTACAAATACAGATCACCTGCCAGACTTTAAATTTGGCTAGTTAATTACTTGTGTTCTAACATAACAACTTCAACTCCAGAAATTAATTAAAAGAGAAAGTAGTAAACCCATGCAACCAACAGTTATACACTATGGATCTTCACAAATTTAGTGCAAATTTTATAGGCTGTCAAAATTGTCATAATTACATTGCACCATCATTCTCATTTCTTTTACCTGTCTAAAAAAAATAAGCCATTATGTGCCAGTAGCCCCTATATTATTTGATGACATTAGCTTTACTTCACAATTCATTAGTAATCTGTAAGTTACGAATACAGTGAACTTCAGATAAGCTCTGAAAACACAGCTCAGGAAATACAAAATAAACACGCAAAATTTAAAATTAATTCAAATCTACTATTATCTGAGAAAAAATGAATTAATTTGTCATTATATGACAAACAGATGTTTTTCATGCTCTGGTGTGTGAAATGCTGAATGGATATTGCCAGTATATATGAAGTAGGTTAATATATTTCTCAGCATGGAAATTTCCATACTGTTTTAAGCTTAGAATCTTTTAAAGAAGTAAACAGTACACTTCAGTTAACTACTCTATTATGTGAGACAATCAATATATTAAAAAATCTAATTAAAAAAAAAATCACTCAAACTCATTCTAATCTAGCAAATTTTACTACTTATAGCATCAACATTTCAGGAATAGGATAAAGATTAACCCAAGAGAATTTCTTATAATGATTAATTAAGATGAAGCATGCTCATATTTAAAACACTGGTTTTAATGTGTTTTTTCTACTAGGAAATGTGTTAACAAAATAGTGAGAGTTAAATGTGAATCATATAAAGCTGTCTGTTTAGATGATAAGTGTCAGTCAGCTTACTGTAACATGTTAGAAGTTCACAATTTACACCTATAACTGTACTACGTTTTATCCACTCTGGCAGTTTTGGGCACATAATATAACTTTTAGAGATTCAGCTTGCTCTGGAGTTCAAAAGAAGGGAGAGGGGACAGGAAAGAGTATACACTGATTTAAACTATGACTTACTGGAGCTACAAGTGTTCATGATGGATCATCCTAAGATGAACCCTCCAAAGATTCTATAGATCTTGTTTCCTTTTGAAGTTTCAAATCTATTTAAATTTGTAAGTGTACTGGCAAACTGGCACAGAGCTAATGAAATCAACTGTGTTACATCAATTTTTACCAATTTAAAAAATTTACTATGGAACTTTAGTCTTAAATTTCAATGCATTGCTGATATGTTCAGCTACTTTTACTGAATAGTTGAAGTTAACTATACGTTTATGAAATGAAACCAGACTTATTTTCATATTATAAAGTTCTTGGACAGTATGTTCTGTTTAGACCTTACTACCATCCATAAAGAAAGGTATTCCTCCATGTCTGAAGACAAGCTAAAGAAGTAAGTGCTATGTTGCTAATCAAATATTAAACATGTCTTCACATTCCCTCCACCGCATCTCTAGGCCTGGACCTCCTAGGGACTACCATCGTAGGGGCTCAGCAGACAAACTAGTGAGATATTTTCACCAGTATGCACCACGATGGAGATTTAACAGTTCCTTTTTTACTGCTGTGGTCGTTTCAACCAATGAAATTCAGAAAAATGGAATTGAAGATCTTCCTGTAGAAGCCTGCCCACTCTTGTCACTGTTCTGTATTTCTTAATTTTGAGAGTCAAATGTTTTGCTTTCCAGCATTTTGAGAAACGCAGTATTTGGAGATAAATTAACAAAATCGTTAAAAAAAAAAACAACCCAGACTTTTCATTTAACCTGTTAAAACTCAAAGATACTTAACTGAAATTAAGTGACTAATTAAAGATTTTTAATTAAGGGACTTTTTGAAATGCACTGCTGTTAATACGTTTCCTTACAAGAAAATACGAAATCAACCTGCTTTGTTCATAATTTCTTAAAATATTAGCCCACTACCTCTGGAGCAGAGGTAGTTAAATTCCTTTATACATCTCAAGTAAACTGTTCTTGATCAAAGCAGTTCTTACCTGGCTATGTTCCTTCCTAGCCCCAGGGCTAAACCAGTGGCTGTGGGAGAAAAAGAAAAGACAGGTTTAACAATATAACTAACAAAGCACATGCTGTCATATGACCAGTCTGTGCGTGCTTTTGGGTATTTTATTGTCTGCCAGGAAAATACAGCCTTTGGCTATGCTTTATTTTAATGGGATATTTTTACTGCACTTTCTAAGTCTGTCATAGTTTTGAAAGAACGCACCACAAATTTCACTTCTGAGTAGCTATTGGCTTTATAGGTAATTATATTTTGTCAAACAAGCTAAAATAATATATAAATGATAGTATTTTAATATACTATAATGCGTGTGCTATAAATAAAAGTAATTCCATATTTAGTACTGAAGTGTTACTTATTAATGATCATAGCTGAAAAGATTTTTAAGTTCCATGGACTACCTGGTAGTTGTTAATGTATTATTTCACAAACTGAGTTTGAATCTAAAGTGAAATTCAAAGTCTGTAAATTCAGTGGCTTCATATCTCCACACAATTGCACAATTTTGACTATTGGCAGCCTTATTTCATAGAGGAGAAAATCTGGACTAAGATGTTGACATGCAGGGACAAGAACTCACAATGTGACTTTTCCCTCAATAGCAGTAAAAGCATATTAATACTGGTTCACATACACACTGTGATCACACAGAACTGAATTAACATCTGAATGTAGCTGTAGTAAGCATTATACAAACCTGGGGCAAATCTTGACACTTGCAAAATGAAAAGGAGAAGGAAAAAATAATTAAAACAAGGGGGATCTGAAATTACATATAGTACCTACATATTACTCATGTAAGCAAGCAATAGGTTTAGGGCAAAGGATAAAATAATTCCATCCATTATAATATTGCACAAAGACCATCACGTTATCTGCTATTACGCTTTTAAGTTCCTCTAGAAGTGGAACCATAGATTATAAGCTTAACCTAGTCATGCTTTTTCTGAAGTAGTTAAATTCAATAGTTTACTCTCATTTTTTTCCCCACAGCAGCCACATAATGACACTAAAATTTTTACTTTAATTAATATACTGAGAAGAAGCAGTTTCCACAGAATTGTCTGGTCTAACTTACTTTTATTTTTTTTTTAAGTCACAAATCTGAAAGTTTTCTGGCTTTTTGTCACTGATTTTTTGTGAGTTTGCTGATGAGCAGTCAACCCCCTCATTCTTGTATACAAGACCAGCTGTCACCAAAACCTGCATACCGCTAACTCCTTTTTCTACTTTTAAGGGGATTAAGGACAAGAAATTGGAAATGACAAAAGAATGACAGCAATAAAGTTAAAAGTATACTTTGAGGTAAAAATCAGTAGACATTTATATATTTTGGACACGAAATGTTCATCAACTGCACCAAATAGTTCAAAATCTGAGGAAAACAGGGAGATCTCACACACACACAACTTTGATGTTGGCAGTGGATGAAAAGAAAAACCATCACATTTTTGAGTGACCCAACAAATCAGGTCACAAACATCCAGAAGCTGACGAAGGTAAGAAATATAATAGATTAGGTCTAAATTCCACATAGATGAGTGTCTTGTCTCTGACCAATGTCAACAGCAAATGCTCAAGGAGGAGCAGCAAACTGGGGTATCCTCCTCCACATAAACTCTGCTGGTTTGTGGCAAATCAGTGGATTAGAGACTAAATTATTTGATATATTTTCTCAATAGAAATATAATTTACTAAGTAATTTGAATGCGTCTCATATTTAGACATTAAAAAACATAAAGAATAAGACCTCTGGTAATGAGAATGTGATATTCACGTCACACTTTTTTATAATTTTGTCCATTCACTTAATTACAGTATTATTTGTTTGCTTGTTCGTTTTAATAAAATAAAGTAAAAACCATAAAGTATCAGTTGAATTACTTTACGGTAGAAATAACTTATGAAATCACAACCTCTTTAGTTAACACACACATTACCAAGTTATGGGGTGCAGCAGAAGTGGATTAGTAGCATAAAACAGTTGGTACTGAGGATCTGATGTTCGTAGTGTATGTGCTTTGGCAAATTTTGTTTTAAACTGTGGATGCTACATCTAGTAGCAGTTAGAACATATAAATGTATCCCCAAACATATTATTTCCTAATCATGCATGTCCGTGTTTTAGATTTCTGATTTAGAAAATATAGGAAAATTTAATCTTTTTATTGTAACTATTAAAAAGAGATAACCAAGAAATAACGCGGCTAGTGTTGTCAGCTGAACGGAGTAAGAGTTTACAGTAATGGCACACTGGAATAACTTAATGAACTGAACGACATTCCCTATTTACGTGTCCAAACAATTAATTCAATGCCTTTTTGTGGAATTTATGATAACCTTCTTCCTCACATGATACATCATGTTTAAGACTCAAAGATGCAATGCTTGTTTATTTTCATATATTCAAGCTTGGCATTTCTGAATTTCCCTTTGGAGAAAAATAAAGGTGGTCTTTTTAAACAACCCATATGTGGTATCTAGCCTTAAGAAGTGTTGTGTTTTAGGAAAGCATATACTTAAGCAGGTTAATAAAAACACTTTTATAAAGCACTGAACTTCATGTTTCATTAAGAAACATAAAATGAATTACAAAGGATTATAAATATTATTATTAAATAAAGATCATTATGTAACTGAGCTGAGGTTCTCTTATCACATGTTTGTACAGTTGTAAAATGTGGCTTTGGGACAGAGGTACTACTGTAAAGCAAACAATAATAAAAAGTTATGACTCCCATCACTGATACTCACTCATGGTGAAGAGAATCCTGAGACAAGTGAACCGTTTTCCTGCTACCGCCTGGTCCTGGAGTCATCTAATGGAAAAAAGTAGGAAAAAAAGTCTTTGAATAATGGGGCAGCATACACACACAGTGATTGTTTATTAAGAAAACATATCATAAATACTAAATACAAAATAGAGACAGTACACTAGATACAGTAAATGCAATTAGCAATATCGGCAATTCTGAAGTAAAGCGAGTGCAGAAAGTGCTATACAAGATTTACCAAAATCCTTAATATGTAATTCTGATTGGATAGCAGACGTCAGACATTTACAGATGTCAGAAGCCTAAGTCACTTTTGAAAAGTCCATGAAGCACTTCATCTCCGAAAAATGAAAGTTAGATGTTTTGAAAATCATATTCAACATACTATCCTTATTTATGGATAATACAGCAACAAATTTATTAACAAACACTCCCAACCTTTGTATCCCAACACAAAGCTTTTGAAATTCAAGTTGATGTGGGATAGAAAGCAATATATACCGAAACCAAAATTACATAGTATGCTCAATTTAAGAATGATCTTAAGAATGCATGATAGCACATGCAGACTTTTGCAGATGATGATATTCTGGTATTGCTCAAGAATGCATTCAAACATCTTTATTTTTATTTTTAGAATCTGCTTAATTTGTCTGCACGTGTAGATAGGTAAAAGCAGAAGAATAAGAGACCACCTGATGAAACTCATGCTTGAAGAACCAGAGCAGAAGGCAAACTATCCCTGTTAGAAAGAATGCAGGAACAAATTTTCAGTTCCTTGGAGATAGTTTTATAGCCAGTACATGACCAGAGGTGGGAATGAAGTCAAACGTTCTGCCAGTTTTGAAAGGAGGCCACAAAAACTCAATGAGAATACATTTATATGGCTCAGGCTTGCCAAAAGTACATAAGCGGAAGATTCACAGATAAAAGCAGCCTACTCTTTATTGAAAGAACAATGCCCTCAACTTTTAAAGAAAAATATCCCTATTCATCTGGTCTCATGCTGGAGAAAAGCCAGGGCAGTCGGAGCTCCAAGTCTGGAAAACTTTCAAAGAACACTCACTGAATAATTTGAAAGCTCCATGTGGTTGAAGTATTTCACCAAATCTGTTTCTTTGATCTGAAGAATGACGTCACTTGGGGCAGAACTGAGAAACCCTAAAGTGTTGTCACTTTTCTGGCTGGTGGTGATTGAAAAGAATTGGTGATACCTTACCGCAGAAAAATCTATGCAAACATACAAATCCCTAGTAGAAGAAATCATGGCAGCCACACGGTAACAATAAAATAGTGACCAAACGTTACTTTTCCAATGTCATAGTTCACCTAATAATAAGAGCAAGAAACGTCAATTCACAAAGACAGACCTAGAAATATGAACAAGTATTTTAATATGTAATTTCCAAATTTTAAGATTAATAACTGAACTGTTACTTTAACACTATAGGTAAACATGTAGCTCAGCTCTCGAGAGTTACATCCTGCATTAATCTCAAAATGAGGTTTTCATGCTATTCCAGTGGGTATCCCTGGAATATAGTAATCCATTTTCTACACTGTGGCTATAAGAAAAGCCGACTGTGCCTATGTCATGCTTTGTTAGAGGTTCATGATCACATTATCTCATGGTGGACCTGACACTTTTATTCAGTTTACAGTATGTTCTGTGTACAGGCAACTTATTTCCTTTGCCAGGGCTGCTGACAACCTTTTCCACACTATATTAATCTTGTTTACAGACTTTATCTTGGTACAAATATCAGAAAACTGAACTTTTTATCTCAGGGAGAAAATAAACAACATGTTGACAGAAGCAAAAGCTATTTTCTGGACTAAAATTGGTTGTTTACCTGCAGCCATACTTATGGAAACAAGTTTAAGTTTCCAGCTTACTCAAAATACATAATCTGAAATTTAATAAGCATGGAAATTTCAAGAAAAATCACTTGAAAAATTGCCAGTTTTAAAATAATATCTAAACCACAGAAGTATGTTTTTCCACTAATTTATATGAGAATATGATCTTGCTTGGAATACAGTTACAACTGATCACAAAGTACACTGCTGAGGTTTCTCTTGCACACCCTAGATAGCTTCAGTTACCAAGCAGCCACAGAATATTTATAAAACTAAACTCATAATACATACATATAGATCTTTACATAAAACTGAATGCTGATTATTGTAAGATTCACAATATGTTAATGCAAATGAATTCATATCTGAAGAAAACTGTTATCTAGGCTGTAAAAAACCAAAACAAAACCTATTGCCCATCTTCATCTGCTAACTCAGTATTAGAAAAATCTACTGCAAAGTTCTGCTGAATCTCCACAGAAGAGAGAGCCAATTGCTCCAGAAAGTGGCAGCAGATTGCAGGACACTAAAATCAAAACAAATACCCTCTCAACTGTTCAGATGCTTTATTAATGAAAAAAAGAATGCATAGTTATCTAGAATTGGTTTAGGTGATGAAGTCCCAGTGCACAAGAAGAAATCAGGGTTTAAGGTAAGTACTGCCTTTCTCTTCGGATACTAAGAACAAGCAATGCTGAAAGCTTGCCCAATTAAGATTTTTTTTTTTTAGTTGAATGTATGTGAGCATGCGTGTCTGAGTGCATACATGTGTATCAGGGAATCAGAATTACTCTGATGGGAGTGTTTAGAAGACTGACAGATCAGGCTTGTTTTAAACTTTAAACTAAGTTCATTCATTAACAACACACTTCTTGGTAAATTCTTACATGCTATTAAACATCCTCCTTATATACAGAAGAGTGTTAGCTTTTAACACTTGTATGCTAAATTAGCTGTGAGTACACAGTATCATAGAGATGATGCTGTATAGTTAGAACTGATGGCTACGGTCCTTGATCGTTCTTCGCCACAGGGGTCAAGGTGTCCAGGACTGAGCCATCTGAGAAAAGACGTTGGAACTGAAGTGGGCTTTTCTTCTTTCTCATCAAATTCTCCTTGCTTATGTCTGATGTCTTTATGTTACTGTTCCCTCTGAAAAAGTGAGGGGGGGTGCCTTCTCTTTTTTTGTAACAAACACCTGAGCCATGGGCAAGTTAAGTGCAATCTGAAAAAGCTCATTTTGATAATGTCCAAGTGCTGTAGACTACTTCTGCCACATGCTTTAGAGTAAAAAATGCGGCAGATTTTTTTTCTAATAATATAAATATAGTAATATTTTTTCAAATCTTTTGATGGATAAACTTTTGGAAAAAAATGCCATGGCATGCTTTAAAGTTCATACACAACATGAACAGAATTCTGGCTTCAAAAGTTCCTTCCTATGAGACATTAAAATGCCCAGGAAATGCCCAATTACCTCTTTCAAGCTTTTTAGCAGTATATTTAATCATCTGTGTTTCTAGAAGTAGCACTACCCCATAACCGAACACAATCACACTCATACTGGAACTTGGATAACTGTAACTAATATAAAAAGTGGAAGTATTTCTAACTATTTCCTCTAACTAAGAATAGCAGCTTTTAAAAAACTTACTCGATGTAGCAAATGACTAGGAACGATGGCCTAGAGGATGAGGAACAATATCGACCTTCAAAAAGAAATATTACGGGTCTTCACACAGTCCAACTGTGTTGCAATCTGTACTGTGGCTTAGTTGCATACAGCAGCAAAATAAGTAGGAGCATAAAGGACAACTAAGGAAATCTTTGAGCCTCCTTGCTTTCCATCTTCCTCCTGTGCAAAGTCTCTCCAGCAACACACTGCACAAGAGATACTGTAATCTACAGTTGATATAACTGTTTTAATATGAATAAAGCTTAGGGTCATCTTTGGAACTCTGAATTTGTTCTGGCTACAAGTCCTTTTACCATTACTTGAATAAGACGACAAGGTGGTGGCTGCATACTGTTTACAGAGTCCCTGTAAACGTTTCCAAATGCCTCAAACACTGGCAGGCTTGGGGCATTGACCGCCTCTCTAGGAAGCCTGTTATAGTGTTCGACCACCCTCTTGGTAAAGATAATGCTTCCTCATGTCCAGCCTAAACCTCCCCGGCACAGCTTTGAACTGTTCCCACGCGTCCTATCACTGGATACCAGGGAGAAGAGATCAGCACTTCCCTCTCCACTGCCCTCCCCAGGAAGCTGCAGAGAGCAATGAGGTCGCCCCTCAGCCTCCTCAGACAAACCCAGAGTCCTGAGCCGCTCCTCATAGGACATGCCTTCCAGCCCTTTCACCACCTTTGTTGCCCTCCTCTGGACGCACTCAAGGACCTTCACGTTCTTCTTAAATTGTGGGGCCCAGAACTGCACACAGTACTCAAGACGAGGCCGCACCAACACTGAATACAGCGTGAGAATCGCCTCTTTTGACCGGCTGGTCATACCACTGAGTGAAAGGGAGCAAAACGTCTACTGTACAGACACAGGTGGCTTGAACACTACCGTTTACTTTCTATGAATATGGTAAGGTGTCCAAGACTGGAGTCTACATAGAACATTATGTAAAGAAAAAGAATCAATTTAGTGGATCAATTTATGCATCTTTTAATAAAATAGTGCTATAGTATTTATTTTAATTTACATGTGCTGTAGTTTAAAGAAAAGGTACTACCATGTGCCAACAAAAAATATAATAAGTTAACACAAAACAAATATGTTACATCCTTACTTAACAATTCTGTTTACTTCTCATTTGAAGTATATTTTAATGTTCAGTTACTGAACAGCCCATGGAAATCATTAATTATTTTTAAAGACACCTATAATATTTAAGTATTTTCTTAACACTTAAAATAATATAAACCACCTTAAAATGAATACTCAACCATACCTCTTCTCCCTTATTTTTTCCCATGCTATCACACAATCAAGTGAACAAGTACGCTTCCTCTTTAGAACTTATGTTAAGCTTCGGAAATACGTTTCTGAAAAAATACAGACTACGCCCTATTCATAATTGTAACTCAGGTATGTTTTCCATTACTGAAAAAATATATTTCTTAAAAGTTAAGTAATTTTTAAACACTGAAAGTGATATTTTTGTATTTTAAATTGGATTTTAT